TTTACCTTTAAAGTCAAAGCTAGGATATGACCAAAATACATTTCAGCTGTAGATGTGCACATCATTACATGCTTATCAGGAGATGCAGACGTTGGTCCATTTGAAAAGAGTCCAAGTTTGTTCAGATTAGGAGGCTGATTGCTTAGATTTGAAAAAATATGGTAGTAGAAGCATCTGGATATCATATCAGAAGTCAGCACGTTGCTGCTTCTCATCATAAAAACAAAAATATGGTCACCAGAAAAAAACTTGAGAGACCAAATAAAGACTTGTGTCCTTACAGTTTCTAAAGGGTTAGTGCTTAACTAGGTTGATACAATATTTCTACTACTCACTGATTGTTCCTCAAATTTGTGGCTGCTGAGCTACAGCTTGGAATCTGCCATTAAACTGTTATTCCTGTTCGCCAGAAATGGTAAATCTCATCTAACAATGGCATACCAGAGGAGCTCCATCTTTCTAGTGCTATCACACACACTATTTAAACTGACAAGTGCTATATCTGCTAGAGACATCTTATCATACAAGGAGCATTTTTTTTTCCACTACTCCTTTCCAGTTTTCTTTGCCATGTGCCTGTTTTTGACAAATTAAACTAAAAGACGTAATTTGCAGTGACTTTATCTTTGCTGTGATAGGATGAAAATCAAAATATTGTGACTTACCTTTGAAACTGACTGCTTTGCTTAATGTGGAATGCAACTGGACCTCTCTTTCCCACCCTTAGACATGACAAATACATCAGCAACACCTTATTGCAAGTATACCGACATCAAGCATAGTGAATACACTTCCATAAGAAGCTTCTTTTACCTGTGTTTTTTCTTCCCTTAGTAACACCACCTTGGTATCCTTCAGTCACTTGTTTCCATTACATCTAGTTGCCCAAGAACCACTGCAGATCTCTCTAAGCCTTCAGCGCTGAAGAAATACCAACATCTTAGCAGTTGACATCATAGCCTGCTTTTAAGGGATAGCACATTACACACAGCTAAATCTGAGATCACCCAGGCAGCGCTAGTTGCCAACTGCAGCACATGTTTCTACAGTTTACCAAACAGAGCAGCCACAGTGTTTGCCACAATACAAACTTAGAAAGGTAAGAGATAATGCTGGTGTTTCTCCAAATGTTCATTCAAGTTTGGTTAAGAATTGATTTCCCTAAGTGAACTACACTTGCACAGGTTTTCTCGAAGTGTAAAATTTATTTTGTTTGGTTTTGGGTGGGTTTTTTTTGCTTACTGAATATGGCTGTAATAAAGCCATTTATTTATTTATTCAAGCATCTGATGTAAAACTGGTAATGAAGTTGACGTACACACAGACTGTTACTGCCTGCACCACCTTAACTGTCTTTGTATTAATTTACAAACTAATTTCTCAAACTGTAGCATTCAAAGAAGAAATAATGGAAAACATAGTATTCAAACATCAACTTCCTCATGGATATGAATGAAAGAAAATCAGTAAGTGCAAAAACTTATTAACGCAGTGCTCCAACACAAGATATGTTCTCTGTTCCAATGTTGGGTTTTTTTCCACATACATTCCACACTATACCAGTAGCCAGGTAGTAGAATATTGTTCCCTGAACAAGGCATCAATTTACCCATTCTTCAGTTATACACAAGAATTTCTACCAAATGATCCCAGATTATGATTAGAAAGCCAAGCTATTTCAACCACGTAGCTGGTTTAAATTTCTTTTGTTTCCGATTTCGAAGTATACTTTGTTTAAAGAACTTGATTACATCTAAGTCCATTATTAAAAATGAATCTCAAATATAACAGATGCATTTTGGCGAACATAAAGTTCAGTCCTCGAGAAAGCTATCAACCGTATCTGAGACAATTTTGTCACAGAAATACACAAAAAGGACAATCTAGAAAGCACTGATATGTCTTATAATTTCCTGAAATATTACCCTGTGAAAGTTTCCAAGTCAGGCACTGTATTTTTAATCTCTTTCCCCATGTAAAACCGGCAAGGATTACAGTCAGAGCACAATTACATACAATAATTATTAGATCTAATTATTATTACTTTGATGAATAAAGTATGGAAGGCTTGAAGAGAAACTTTAAAGACTACTTCCTAGAATTTGATTAACCTTTCCAAGCTGATACAAGAGAAAGCACAAAATGGTTTTCTGAAGTGAAGAGCTGGGCATCTGTGTCCAAAGTTATTAAACAGATTCAAAAGTTGTCCACATGGTGAGAAACTGATGGGAATCGCAGGATTAAATTCGAAAGGAAGAATCAAATGTTTGCATTTGATGAACTTGAAGAAGATAAGACAACAAAGGTACTTAGAGGTGAAAAACACAGTAATTTTGAACGTAACTGATCCCTGTGCATACCAAGATTACAGGGCACACAATGGCCAGAGCATTGACAAAAAAAAAAAAAAAAAAAAAAAAAAAAAAGGGCAGTGCAAACAGAAGGGAATGATTAAAACTTAGAAATATTCCAGTGGATGTGGTAAGATTTGGACATGTTCTGGATGTGTGGGTCAAAGGAGAGAAACAGGCCAAAGAAGATGCCAAGATTACAGCCTTGATTGAAGACAGTCATGGTTATACTCTCTGTTCTTTCTAGTTACTCTGTTTTGGAATGGAGAACAGACAATGAAAACAGTAATTTAGTATTTTGAAATACTATATTCCAATTTTCATTTAGAAACTTACCAAGCAGCAACTGAAGACATTTATTGGTACGTAGAGACCACAGTATCAATAGCCACTGTTAAACAGATGCAGGTATTATATCATGTGGTACTTTAAGAATCAAGCAAAATCCCTGAACTATCCATTTTTGTCAGTGAAATTGGAGGATGACAAAAAAAAAATTACATTACCCGAAATTAATTTCTTCATTCCAATTTAAATAAAACACTTCCTATTTTTCTGTATTTGTTTAAGGAATATGGATGTACCAGTAGTAAACGAAAAGGTATTTCTTTATTCTTAAAACTATTCTGTCACAAGGAGAAATTTAGTTAATGCTCTTTAATTTATGATAGATGCTATCCTACTCAAACCAAGTTTTCCTTCTACTGAAACTGTTCACCATTAGATTGTAAACTTCCCAGGACAGGGGCCTATTCATAGCTGTAGCCTTTTACATCGGAATATACTAGGAAGAGTACTGTTAGGCAACAGGGATGCTACTAAAGAACAACTATTTCCCCATTACCTTTTGGAATGAATTGCGTATACATTTCTTCAGGGTGTTTTTGCAAAGACATACCACTGAAATAAAAGGTAATTATTTCATGATAAATGATCTGAAAACAAATAAACAGTAAGGTGGTGAAGTATGCTGTCGATACTAAGGTACTGAGGGTAGTAAAAATAGAGCTGGCTGAGGGAATCTGCATCCAGCCTCACAATCCTGAGTGCATAGGCAGGTGAAATTTAATGTAGATAACCATAACGTAAACACAGAAAAAAATCCTGTCCTTACCTATAAAACTACCTAGTGGATGTAGATGTCAACACTCAGAAAATATATCCTGGGATCTCTATAGTTAATGCTATGAAAACAATTTTCAGTGTTTGCTCAATGTTCAACAGAACAACATTCAACAATGCTCAGTCTGTCTGCTTTCTGCTTCCTTAACAAAGCAAAAGAAATAAATGACAGGAATTATAAGGAAAGAACTGGATAATGACATGAAAACCATTATTTTGACTGCTCTTGTATCCTGAATACATTCTCTGAATGAATTGTTTAACTCCTGGTCTCACCTCCAAAAACATATAGTAGCGCTCAAAAAATATTAAAAAAAGAGATTAAAAGTAAACGTGAAAAATCAAATAGACTAAAATTCTTCAGCTTGGAAAAAAGGAGACTGAGGAAAGGTATAAAATCATGAGTTGAAGAGAGAAAGTGACTAGAACAACTGTTTATTCTTTCTATCAAAACGAGAAGACAAGCAGCCAAGACAGATAGAAAACTGAAAAAAAAAAAACACCCTGAAACATTTCACACAATGCGTAGTTAACTTGCATTGAGCAAGGACCTCCTCTTGTAGTACACTGCAGATGCCAAAAGCCTATGTGGACTTCAAAAAAAAAACAACCAACATTGAGTGAATTTTTGGAATAAAAATCTACTGAGAACTGTTAAAAATAAGATACCACTTCCGGTTCAGAAAGTTCTAAAGCTGCAGATGGTCGCATTCAGAATATTATAGGATCATATGATGTCCTGTCTCTGTACTCTTCCATAGGCACTTCCTAGTGTCTACTGCTACAGACATCTATACTCAAATATAATATTTTAATGAAGACTACACTATCTAATTATTTCTGAAACGTTTTTATTTATAGCTGAATTCAATGGAATTGAAAAATAAAGGATATGCATAACAGCAAGACACATCTCAGTCTTGAAAACATCTATGTATAAACTTGATTCTGGTCCAATTGATGTCAATAACATATGAATACAAGTAAATGTAAGACTATAATCCCCAACGGAACTTCACATTTTCTCTTCTAAAAACTTTTTAACAAGGATTCTGTACTATCACATTGGTTCTATGTGTACCAAGTCAGGAAAGAATTTCTTTTTCTTTTTTTGGGAAGTGTGTGGGAGTAGTTCTAAGAGAGGAAGGTGTACAACGGTACTAAAGTTCCACCGGTTTGGTCTGCCCTTTGAAAAGCGAGTCGTTACTTATTTCCAACTTCTTATGTACAGAAGTTACTTTGTTTGTCACTGCATATTGTATTTTCTGTTGGTAATCCCGCTGGACGATTTCTACATATTGTCAGCTTTGAGGCCCGTAGCCTGCAGCAGCACTTCCTGCTCCACCAGGGCTTCCCCAAAGCAACTGCTTCTCCGGGGCCATTCAAATGTCGCACATCACACCCAACGGCACCAAGTCATTTCAAGAACTCCTTGTTTCACTAAGCACGCAAAAAGTGCAATCCCCGACTTACCTGATCCGATTGCTAAACAAATTTAAGTAAAGCAGCACAGTATTATGCGGAATCATGGCTCAAAGGGCATTTATTTCACCTAACGAGGTAAAGATGCACAGTGTTATAATGATGATTTCTAAAGTGCTAAGCAGTTACTCTTCCAGAAACAAACAGGATGAATGACCAAAGGCATTACTCAAAATCCCATTAGCCGCCTATTTTCTCTTACAGCAGCCTAAACACTTTTAATAGTCTGGTCCAAAATGATTATTTTGAACCATTCCGAAGGGATTAGCTGTGCAAATAACCAAACCTGGTCGAGCAATGCGGTCTAATCTGTAACTCAGTTAACAAAGACTGGAAAAAAGTATAGAAAATTACTCTAATCCATACTTACTTTTCAGGTGTTTAGAGAAAAAAAAAAAAAAAAAGAAAAGGAGAGAAGTGGTCTTAAAGGGAAAATACTCCGATACTCTTTGTGTGCTTTAAAGCCCGCACTAGCAACTTTTCCGTGGCGTTAAAACAAGAAGACGAGGGTGAAAAAAAAAAAAAAAACAAAACACCAAAACAACAGAAAGTTAAGGCAGCTCAGCCTTTCTGTCCCGAAATCGCTTCACCAGACGTCCCCTCCCGCAGCTGCGGCGCGGTGGCGAGGGCGGTGCGCGGCGGCCCGGGCTCGTAGCGGCCCGGCTCCCCCATGGGTACGGCTCACTGTCGCGCGGGATACATACATATATACATTATTATTATTAAAAGATCTGTTTCATACACACGGCACGCGCGGTTCCCTGGGGGCCGGGCGCCGCGGGATTCCTCCGC